TACCTGTGTCTTACAGTATAGAAGTTTTCGCAGAATAGTTGGCCAAATTTTAGACACTGGGAACAAGGGGTGTTTTAATACGTTCTGTAAGACTATATTTATAGTCTCTATGACTGCGACATTAGTGAATAAGATTCCACCGTCTAGCGAGATTAGGATGCCTTTATTTGGTTTATTAGGATGTAATGTGGTGAGGAATTCACTCGTGAAGTTAATGATATACTTAGCAAGTATGAAAGTATTAATTAATGTAGAATTTTTGCTAATTGATATAAGATAATTCGTGTGTGAAATATTCATTATTTGAATTAATTTAGCAGTCAAACGTGATGACAAAAGATGGGACAAGATGGAGAAAATATATTGTCGCGACAATCGTCAAAACAGAAAGGGTATTCGGGCCTAGAAAACCAGCGTTTGAAATCTCGTTTTAACCTCAGTTCATGTAGTGAGTTCTACACATTTGAGGAAATATGACAGCCCTTCCACACATAATGTTAGATTCAGCCAGTATAAGAAAAATAAATAAAAAGTGTAAAAGAATATGAAAAGAAGAATTAACATCGGCTAAAGACAAAAGCAAAGAATCTACTGCAATTAAGTAAACGTAACACAGCGAAATATAGATTATCGTAATTCCACATGTATAATACGCATTTTTTTCTAAAAAAAAAAAAATAAGCAAAATCAGGGGTGCGTATTATACACAGCGACAAAAAATCTTTTTAAAAAATTGCCGTTTCATAGGTCGATTTCAGTTGCGAAATGACGACTCACCACAAACATACGACAATTTGACACTAACATTGGGCGATTGCGACCCCATAAATGTCAAATACAAACATATATACCTAACAATACTTTCAAATGTAAAATAAAATAAGAATCATCATAAAACTAAATTAGAAATATAGTTTTCTATGTTTAAAACCATTTTTTAATATGAGTAGGAAACGCTGGCCGTAATGAAATTGGAGAGGTAAAATTTATATGGACTGATTATCATACAAGGGTGCGTATTATGTGTGTAGTAGCATTTTCCTACACTTTCAGCACAATTTTAGGGGTGCATATTATAGATGGAGGCGTATATTACGGTACCTGAAAACTGATTTCTGAAAAGTAATTTTTATTGATGAACATTGGGTACACATGATGGCAGGGATATCTGTTGGATCCTATATGGAAATAGGGGGATAATTGCACCCGAAAAAACAGCGGTAAGAAGGTTTAGGGCTGATTTCTGAATAGTAATTATTAAACATGAATGGTGATCTATATTCGATGAATCTGGCAGTTGGGATATTTGTTGGTTCTTATATAGAAATAGCCGAATAATTGGGATGGTCAGGAAGGTCCACTTTTCTACTTTTAAATATTTTACGGGATTTTTGGTTTCGTGATAATTATGAAATAATTAGGGTACTGGGAAAGCTTAAATGTATTTTCAATGTATTTCTCCTCTTAGATGTTGGGCTAAAAATTCTGAATGTTCAAAAATAGAATACATTGATTGTTCCAGATTGTATTTTTTATTATGTTGTATTGCGTCTATCGGCCAGCTCACCCAAGAAAATAAAAATAGAGAAAATGTACTCTTTGTAGGAGAAAATACCTTTTGATCTGACATGCTTTAAACGTCTTGGCGAAATGCATAGTCGGATGTTTTTTTCGAAACATTATACTTCCATGAACATTTTTTCCAATATATATCATAACTTCCTAATCTCTGTTAGATAGGTTCTTCGATTTCAAATAATGGCGAAACGTGCATCAAAAAATTTCCACCATTAAACTGACACCATTCTTAAAATTAAATATGTTCTTAAAAAATTTTAGTTTTTTGTTTATTCCTGAAAGATCTAAACCCTAAAAAAACTTTCCAAATTTTCATTAACATGTCGAGATTCATAATTTAGTCTAATCAATAAATAAATCTGTCAATCATATGTTGGTCAGTAGTTGAACATTTATACAGGGATCTTGGACATTTGCTCAGAGAGCGTGTGCATGTTCCAGTGAATAAGATATATATATATATAAAGTAATGATACAATCTGTATGGAATATCCAGGGGTATATAGATCCAAGGAGAGCTCTATGTCAAAAGACAGAGAAAAATGATTATTAATTAAAGAATATCAAACACTTAAGTGTAAAATCCTATGGAACTGTAAGTGTTTGATATTCTTTAATAATAATAATAATAATAATAATAATAATAATATATATATATATATATATATATATATATATATATATATATATATATATATATATATATATAAGAAAATGACCTAAAGTTAATAATAAGTTCAATCAGCAAAAATCCTTTTGTTATTATTTAGAGGAAAGACCAAAGCATTTTTTTTATGTAAATATTACTTTTTTTATTAATACTTTTTAGAATCTTCAGAATTTTGGTTAAAATCCTGTTTCTATGACGTCAATGGGGAACAACAAATTAGTCTGGGAAATTGGAATGTTTTCTGCAGTGAAAAACACATTCATTTGGAAATTCTTGCAAAAATCTGATAATTGGTCCGACTTCAGAACTTATTCTCAAAAGAATGAAATTATCTTTGAATTGTTTCATTTTTGTTACCTATCCCACCTGTTCTTGGAAATTTTAAATCAATTTTTTTAAAGCATGACCCGCAGTTACCGAAATTCTGCTCTGAATCTTAAAATAAAAAACGTGATATGAGTGAGACATTATTTGATTAGAAAATCTTTTAATTTCATCTATGAATTAGATGTATTATAGAAATGACGCCGTTGTCTTAAGAAATATTTTTTCAACGAGTAATGAATTTTTACAAGAATTGCTTTCATTTTTTTCAAAATTTAATTATAATAATTTTTAATGTTTAAATCTTTTAAAATTCTGTATTAATTTACAGCACTTACGTGATATTGTTATTAAATAAATGCTCTATTTACTAATCATAAATGAAAAAGCTTACTACAATTCAGCAACCAGTAGTATTTTTAAAAGAATGTCACATATTTCTGAATGCATGTAAATGTGCCGACTTTTGTATAAACAACATCGTCAGAAAATCACAAGCCTCTTCTTAAACCAAAATATCTGAAATTTTATAAAATAGTAGATTATTTACAATATTTTCCTCAATTTTTAAGATTATTAGGTAATTAAAAAATGTATATAAAAAGGCGCTCATGTTATATTCGTCAAATAACTCTCACAGTTGTATCCCAAGTAGAAAAATCCCCAAGCATAAGTCTATCAAGATAGTTGTCAAAACCTCATGAAAACATTCACTGCCGTGTAAAAAATATATTTTGCGATATTTTAAACTGAAAGTAAACAATATTTGTCTCGAATCAGTTTATTTAAACTTTAAATCAGATAACCTTCCCTAAATAATGTTTCAAAACATATATTTTATGTTGGAATAATTTTTTTTTAATAATGGGAATTTCTTTGTGCGAACAGAATTTTCAATCTGCCTATTTTTCAGCCATTTTTGACGATTTCAAAAAAAATAATAAAGGGACAAAAAATAATTCCAATCCATTTAAATTCATTTTGAAATACTGCAAAAATTCTGCTTATTGTAAATATTAAAATTAATCTATTAGCTTGTTACCAATATACTACACTATGAAAATAAAAAAAAAGACTTCAAATTTCCGAGGTCGTTGTTGTGGCCTTGTTAGGGCCAGAAATAAAGACACAAGAGACGGACTGAGTTAAACAAATATATTAACAGAAAAACAGTAATACAAACAAAAGTGTTACAGCAAGAATATTCGGTCCGACTACCAGAGCTGACTGTTGGAAACTACACTCCTTTAAAAGACAGTACCTACTCTCATTTATAGCTGGGAGAGTCCATGTGCGCATGGGTAGATTACCATAGTCCTCTATTGTAGAATAACAATAATAAACAGCACTTACCGGTGTAAAGGTCCCAGCTAGCGTCCAGCTGGCAGACAAAAATAAAGCAGGTTGTAACTTAATACAAACCCTGCAAACTAACAGCTGAATCAAGCTGGTATTTATATAGAAATACCTCCACTCAGGTACCAGCAGCCAATCACAGCCCAAGCAATGGACTATCCCACTTTAGCACAATGAGATGCTCTATGGCAACATAAATAGCTCTCTTTCTAAAGGTTGGATTATTGTTCACTTAGCTTGCTCCACAACTAAGTGTTTATCTTTACCACATGATTTTTCTACATATATATCAAAATCAACCAATCAACACTCAACGAAATTTATTACGAATATAGCAACAACATATTAAAGTGCATATAATATTTATATACTAATGCCATTTTACATTTCTACCAATTCCCGATCGGCTTCCCGTATATATATATATATATATATATATATATATATATATATATATATATATATATATATATATATCAGGAATTAATGTCGAGTTAAAAATTGAAGATCTTCTCTACAAAACGTAGAATCTTGAACAGGTTCGCTTTCATACATATTTAAAACTGCATGTTTCCTTTGTTTATGCAAACGTATATCTAATTCTTCTTATTTTGTGTCTGTATACGTTATTTTCAGTAAAATACATAAATGTCTGTTAATAAAAGGGGCAGCAGCTGCAGTAGCAACAGTCGGTGTCATCAAAGCCCCTACTTAAACTCCCTATTTTTCTAATTACGTGAACGTCACAGATATCATTCGGGAACTCATTTCCGTCGACGGAAAACAAGGAAAAATCAAAGAAAGATTCTCATCCATGTGGATGCAAAGGATCGCGAAATGCTAAAAATAAAAAGGAAAAAAGAAAAATCACCTTTTGTCCCCCGTCTCCATCCACACAAATTGTGCATTCCTTCCATAGCACCAGTTCTCTATCTTCATTTCTGACACCATCAACATCTATATTTTATCTACACCATTTCGCCCGCTTCACCACACCTACCCACTTCTTGCCTACCTTTTCCTTAACCATTCTCGCTTCTGAAAAAGCCATCAGCTCGTTTCTATTTAATAATTAAGATGTTGTACGCTTTGATGTGATGTCAGTTGCTCGCGAAACGATATCACTGAAGAAGCAGAAGAAAAAGAAGAAGAAAAAGAAGAAGAAGAAGAAAAAAGAAGAAGAAGAAGGATGAAAGAACGAAATTGAAGATAAGTGAAAAAAATGAGTGAATGAAAGGATAGACGATAGAAAGATATATGAACAGAAAGAAAGAAAGAAAGAAAGAAAGAAAGAAAGAAAGAAAGAAAGTGGAATGAATTTTGTAAAAACAAAAAGGTGGAGAGAAGAAAAAAGAAGAAAAGGATGAGAGTCAAAAAGAACAAGAAACAGATTTACTGAATCTAGAAAACAGACGAAGAAAAAAGCGAGAACCGGAGACAGAATGAGAGAACAAAAAAATGGAAAAAATTGGAAAAAAATACAACAAAGAAGAAATGAAAGAAAAAGTGAAAAAGAATAAAAAAAATAAATAAAATAAAAGAATAAATAAAAATGAGAACGAATGAAAGAAGGAATGATTGAAATAACGAAAGAAAGAACAGATGTAAGAATTTAAGAGTGAAATACTGGAAGAAAGGCTGATAGAAAGAGTGAAAAAACGAAAGATTAAATGCCGAAGAAAAAGTGAAAAAAGAAAGAAAAAAGAACTAATTGCGAGAGAATAAAAAAAAACGAATAAAAATAATGAAAATAAGAAAGAATGAGCAAAAATGAATGAAAGAACCGAAGAAAGAAATAACGAAAAAAAGAAAGAATGAAAATGGATGAAATAACGAATGGAAAATAAATGAAAGAACAAAAGAAGAAATGAATGAAAAGATCGAAAAAAGGAGAAAAAAAAAGAGAATGAAAAGAGATGATATAACAAAAGAAAAAAAATGAATGAAAAAGCGAAAGAACGTAAAATGATATAATGAACTTGAAGGAAGTTAAGAAGAGAAAAATTATAGAATGAACGTACGGGCAAAAGAAAGAATGAAAAAAATGACGAAATAAAATAAACAACTATAAAGGAAAATATGAAGTAGAAAACTTTCATGATATTAAGAAATCGACTGATAAAAACAATATGAATGCACACACACATATACACATACACATATAAAGAGATAGAGATACAAAGAGATAGAGAGAGAGAAAACAAAAAAGAAAGGTAAAGTTCAAAGGGAATAAGAGGCATAAATTGTGATGGGAATTGAAAGAGATAAAAATCCAGACAATAGTGAAAGAAGAGACAAAGGACAGGTAAAAAAGAGGAAGAGAGTGAATATCTAATAAGATTAGACGCAATTCACAAGGTAGATAAATTCAGAGAAGCAGTTAGTGTTTGGAACTCTAAAAATGTCGGGTGGTAATAGCATTTCCGGAGGGCTCACAACCAGATAGGCATTCATGTATTCAGGACTCGAACGAAAGCGAGCTGTCACTCAAGAGGCAGGTGTTAAAATGTGGAGATTTTCTACCTGTCAGCTTCTCCATTGTTTCTTCCAGCCTCTTTCTGCTTGAATGCGTTAGTTGGCAAGGGAGGGGGATGAAATAAACGAACTTTTCTTCTACGAACAAGAGAATGATTTGAGTTTTATTCTCTCTTATTAATGACAATGCTTCAAGTCAGAAACTTGGGATGTTTAAAAAAAAAACATATTTGCCGCATCCATTTGAGGAACGCCAGAGAACTGATCGGCTGAAATGTGACGTTCACATCAGAAAAATTCGAAGATACTAGTTCACACAGTTTCATCCTAGAGGATTTGACGAAAACTTAATCAAAGAGACAGATTGATATTAACAGACTTAATTAATAGATAGATAGATAGATAGATAGATAGATAGATAGATAGATAGATAGAAACAAAGAGGAAATAGATAGATAGATAGATAGATAGATAGATAGATAGATAGATAGATAGATGGAGAGACTTCAATAGATAGATAGATAGATAGATAGATAGATAGATAGATAGATAGATAGATAGAAACAAAGAGGAGATAGATAGATAGATAGATAGAAAGAGGAAATAGATAGATAGATAGATAGATAGATAGATAGATAGAAACAAAGAGGAAATAGATAGATAGATAGATAGATAGATAGATAGATAGAAAGAGGAAATAGATAGGATAGAAACAAAGAGGAAATAGATAGATAGATAGATAGATAGATAGATAGATAGATAGATAGATAGAAACAAAGAGGAAATAGATAGATAGATAGATAGATAGATAGATAGATAGATAGATAGAAAGAGGAAATAGATAGATAGATAGAAACAAAGAGGAAATAGATAGATAGATAGATAGATAGATAGATAGATAGATAGATAGATTTTTACAGCGAGGTTAACTCTATACAAGACCCGAGGGCCACTCAAAGTAGAGCGTTACGTTTGGAAGCCATTTATGTGTATAGGAGTGGAAGATAACATTTACCTAGATAGGTTGAAGGATGCAGAATAATTCGTTACCTACAGGGGCTTAGAGGCACTTTTGAACTCGATCAAGCATAGGAAGTGAGGCCTGGTCAGCTCAGACACAAATGAGTACAGTACTCTATTTTTGGCCTGATCTGGTTCTTGCAAAGGTAGAGAATAGCAGGAGGAATCAACTACCTACTGAAGCAGTACAGGGAGCCGACCATTTTACCTGCATTCTTAGCAATGGATCATATGTACGAGTCCCACTTGAGGTCGAGTGTGAATTTGAGGCCCAGCAGTCTTTCAAGGGACCGTGCTTCTCCTGGAGAGACCTCCGTTCATCCTGATTTGTGGCAGTTTGGGGCTAGATCGGTTATTTTGGGACATAACTAGCTTGGTCTTCGAAGCATTGAATGTAACCAACCAGTTTTTTACCTTATTGGGTAATCGTGAAAGATCGGAAGAGAGTTCAGTCGCCAGTCTCTGAGCATCGAGAGATTTAGAGCTGCACCCGTATATAGTCGTAATATCGGCATAATGTTTACAAATAATCTGAGTATATTCTTAGGCAAAAAAAGAGTTGGTTCGTGGTGTGACTCCTGGGGAGGCCAGTGTTGAACTCTCAGGCTCCCGAGAACTGTCCATTGATAACTACTTATATATATATATATATATATATATATATATATATATATATATATATATATAGATATATATATAGATATATATATAGATATAGATATATAGATATAGATATATATATATATAGAGAGAGAGAGAGATATGAAGTGAGTAAGATAGATAGATAGATAGATAGATAGATAGATAGATAGATAGATAGATAGATAGATATTAATATCAATGCATATATTTATACAAATATTATTTATCGGGACCAAGCATATGAATAAACTGTGCGAAGATCATTTTTTTGTGCTTTGTTCCGTAATTTTCGACATTGTCATTATCAAGAAGTGTTTTTGTCAGTGCTAGATAAGATTTCATTGACTACATCCTGGCACTTTTAGATGGCTGGAATTGGAATTAGAATATTTTCAAAGTGAGGTCATATGTAACTGTTAAACGAAAAAAAAAACTTGTATGGAACATTTAGACATTATTTCTAACGCACAATATGTATTTTAGATAGATTTCAATATAGCATCTTCTTTTATATAATGTGGGTGGTTTCTTTGTATTATAGTGGCTTCTAGAATTTCGCGGATTTCTTTGAAGCGTGTCCAATATAATATTTTCGTATTATCACTAAAATATGTCATATTGATACTTTTATTTTGGTTGTTTGTTATGAGGTGGTCGATAGGTGCACGAATTGAACTATGTTTCGACAAGATATTTAACACGCATGCAAAAACAGGAACAAGTTTGAATATTCTTGCTTTTCCGTTTAAGAGTTCCATTTACGTAAGATATACAGACATTAACGGATAGATAGGGATGTGGGGCCAAAGTTGGGACCACAGAAGTAAAACACGGAACCCGGATTAGATGTAAGAAAGATATATTAACAACAGGTTACAGATAGTGTAAGCGGAGCTTACTATATGTTACTCTCTGTCACTCTCTAGAGTGCTATGTCGCCTACTTAATATAGGCCTGGAAGAGTCTATTGTGTAGGTAGTTTCCGGTCTCACGATAGATAGATAGATAGATAGATAGGAACAGACTTATATATATATATATATATATATATATATATAGGAACAGATTATATATATATATATATAGGAACAGATTATATATATATATATATATATATATATATATGATCATTCAACATTCATCAATAGATAAACAGAGTTAGAAATGTAGATATATGTTTTATTAGCAGGCAAATAAATAAGAACAGACCTAGATAGATAGATAGATAGATAGATAGATAGATAGGAACAGACATATATATATATATTTATATTAGGTTGGTGCAAAAATAATGATGTAATAATGTCGTTTTTTGACGTAATTTTAATATATATATATATATAGAGAGAGAGAGATAGATGTAGATAGATATGCTTTAGCATTCAATAATAGATAAACAGACTAATAAATGTAAATATATAAGCATTTTATTAGCAGACAGATATATAAGAACAGCCCGAGATAGATAGATAGATAGATAGATAGATAGATAGATAGATAGATAGATAGATAGATGCAAACAGAGTGATATTAGATCGATAGATATAAACAGGCTTATGGAGATATATTCATGGTTTCTGAAATTCCCTCGGAAGGCCACCGAACGTGACAAGAATAAAAATGTGGAAGGCTTACCTTTTGGATCTAACACATAGTTTTTTTCCCCTTTTCCCGTTAGGTTACAGAACGCGTTGGACTCCTGAGGGAATACAGAAAAGTCAACGACTGAAACGTGATAAAAGGCAACAATCACGTGGAATCCGGCCGAAATGAAAAAAAAAAAAAACTTAACTGAAAATACAATTTGCCTAAGAAAAGGCCTTAGAGTATAACGGTCGAAATATTGTGATAGAAGGGGACAAAGCTGAAGAAGTATGTAAAACTTAATTTCAGACAACCATAAATAAAACCCAGACATTAACCTGAAACTTGTGACAAAACATGGAAGCTAATTTAAATGATATTGTATAAAATATCTTAATATTTGTCTGTCTGTTTGTCTGTCGGCGTATTTGTCCACTGATTTAGTCTGTTCAAATCGATCTGTTAATATTTATGTCCGATCGCTGCATGTGCGACTGGTATAATGTAACTCACTACCACGTATCGCATAGTTCGTTCATTGTCGGCTAAAGTGGTTCCCTCAACAAGTCTTTTTTTTTGGGTGGGGGGGTGAGACGGATGTCTAAGCACACAGCAAGGTAAAAGCCAAGACATGTCAAAAGGCGGAGGGCTTCCTAAACTACAAGCTACAGACCGGTGGTTTCCCCAGATGGAATCAACATTCACGTGTCCTTGACTAACGCGAGCCTTCGAACGGGGAGACATCGTCAGTATCTGACGTGAATGGGGGTGATGGGCTCCGTCAGGTCTGCTTGCTCAAAACACGCTACGAATGGATGAATTCTTCATCTAGCTTTCCAGCCTATGTATGTAGAGTCGGGGCTAGTCAGGTATTCAACTGCGCCGTGACCTTAACGTCACATCCACTCATCGGACCGAGTGATGATGATGCTCCTGATGATGATGATGAAGAAAAGAAAATCGTCTCAGAAGGCCAGAAAAGAATATCAAGATTTCTTTTTTTAAGGTTACTTGCAGCTCATCGGGGCAATTACCATGAAAGTATTTGTAGAAAAGACAGGGAGAGGCGACGGCGCGTCTGTGAGAGAGTGACTGTAGACGAGATGTCAGATCAGGGCCAATTATATTACATATCCGTCTCTGGCATCTCGTCTACAGTCACTTTCTCACAGACGCGTCGTCACCTCTCTCTGTCTGTTTTACAAATACTTTCATGGCAATTGCTCTGAGGAGCTGCATTCGCTGGTTCCCAGACTTCATGAATTCAAGCGCTCTACGAGACTGGCATCCCGCTCTCACACTTTCACTGTCGAAACTCCTAAATGTAGCCGTCTCGTCTACACCAATAGCTTCATGTCTCGCACCTCTCGCCTGTGGAACTTCCTTCTCTGTTCCAGTTTCCCTGAGAGCAATAATCTCCAGCTATTCAAATGTAATGTCAATCAACATCTCCAGTTGCCTTGATCTATCCAATACCCTTCTCCTCATCCTTTCTTCTATCATGGGGTAAAACGCTTAATAAAAAAAATGTGTTTTGAAATATCCTGTTTAGGAGAACTCGTTGATACTGTGTTAACCGGGTAAAACTAACGCAATAATCACTTTCTAGCGGTAAATTAATGACAAAATTAAATGTTTTAAATCAATTAATAATATATATATATATATATATATATATATATATATATATATATTTTCAGTTAATTCTTAAGTGATAACAACTCAAGCTTGAAACCAAGGAGTATATATATGCGTATGTCTATATATTTGTATATTGATTTTCCATGTTTGTGTCATTTTCACCTGTAGTTTGCGGTGTCTCTGTAGTTATTTCGAAGATGAGTGTGTTTATCTGTCATCCGTATATTTGCATGCTCATATATTCAGTCATATTTATGTATTTGTGTATTATGACGTGATGTCTGTCTTGTCACCAATAAACCTTTCTCCCTCGTCCAAGAACACCATTCTCCATTCAGCATTCTCTTGATGGTTGTTGAAAATACTTTGAAGATGGAAGCCATAATATGAATGTTGAAAACATTAATGAAGACCTGAATGATCTTTTAGCTCTCATCATTGCTCATTTGCAAAGACAGGGCTGAAAGAAAATGATTTTAAACTGTTCTTTTCTATCTGAATAACTCAAAAGATTTTTTCAGTGATTATTACGAGAAATGGTGTCAAGATGGCTAAACGTCTTATCTGAAAAGCTGGAAAAAAGAAACTCAATTAGTTTAGTGTTTTTTAGATATTAAACATTTTGTGGGATGGGCAATTATCCCATATATATATATATATATATATATATATATATATATATATATATATATATACTTAGTGTGTGTGTGTGTGTGTGTGTGCGTTATTATTAGTAATTTTAACGTTTCTTTTACAATAAATCTGTTCGGTATCTCCTATTATTGAAAATGGAGTTCAGTCTTCTCGGAATTAGAATTTCGTATTAGAAATGACGGGAAAGGCGTTTATTTTTCTATAAAATATTGGTTTTATGGTAATTTTACGATGATTGTTCAGTTTATACGTGAATAGATTTCTTTCTCAGTTTATGGCTTATTTTACACTGGGCACACTGTATATATATATATATATATATATATATATATATATATATATATATATATATATATATATATATATATATAAAGTGTAAAATTTCTCCCACAGGAATCAAACCTGTATTCCTATACGGGAAACCGTCATTCGACCTGACGTGCTGTACCATTCAGCTACAGTAATTTCGGAGAAAGCATGCGACGGAGAATATTTCTTGAACATTTAGGACGGTAAATGTAATTGTCGGACATAATCCATTTCATTATATATTGTCATTGTTAAAGTTAATATACATTTCGTGAGCAGAAATGATCGATCGAGAAAAATCCTCGAAGATTGTGTGTTTGTCAACTTGGCTAACCAGACGCTTCTCTGTAGCTGAACATCAGATCAAATGACAGTTTCCGTATATGAATACAACTTCCATTCGTGTCGAAGAACGCATATTGTTCTATGAAATTTCTCGAACTTTCAGGCCGGCAAATGTAAATAATACCGTTTAATAAAAAAAATCTACTTAAATACATTGTATCTATAAAAAATAACCTATGAACACATATATATATATATATATATATATATATATATGAAAAGCACTAATGATGAAATGCCTAAGTGTCCGATAAATCCTAAAGAAAATATATGGCCTCCAACAGGAATCGAACCTGTCTCCTACTGAGAACCATCACAGAGCCTGAAAAACAGTAATTTGACCTTGCTAACCAGACGCTTCCTCTATAGCAAAATAGTATACCACGTCAGACTATACACGCCGGTTCCGTGTAGGATACAAATATTTAATAATTGCTCTGTTTATCATAAACAGAGCATTTACTATTTGTATCTATAAAAATAACAATATAAAACAATATATATATATATATATATATATATATATATATATATATATATATATATATATATATATATATATATATATATATATATATATATATATATATATATATATATATATATATCGGATGTCTATCCACACTGAGGATCTGTGATACAGCAGAAACAGTCTGTGGATGACTCTCTCTCTCTTTTCTCTCTCTCTCTCTCTCTCTCTATATATATATATATATATATATATATATATATATATATTGTAATTCTCGTAAGAACAATAATTTAAAAGATTATCTATGTGTGCAATATCTTGCTGTAGAAAATCCTTATAAACACTCATTTGGAAATATCGTTAAAATATACTGAAAGAAGTCTTTTAACACTGAGTCATCATAATGTAAGTATTTAACTAGCTTCTCGGTAAAACTAAAGTCAGTTATTACAAAACGGAATGTGTATGTATTTTACGGGACAGTCTGTATATAGGACTATTTAATTTATTCTTTGTTTTTTTTCCCTTTTTTATTTATTTATTTTATTTGTCTCGTAATAAAGAAAGATTTATCTCCAACATTATTCAATGGATCCCCTGTATTTTCATGCACGGGCTTCGGACAAATCATTCTGAAGCTCTATTAGTCACGTGACAATTTTTCTGCGTCATCTTTGACCAGGACAATCAGAGAGTCCCTTTACTCCTTCACGCAAGCCCGAATGATTAATCAGTGATGCGATTAAAAAAAAAAAAAGAGAAAAGGAAAAGAAGATATTCGCTGAAACGATAATGCATTGCAAAAGAAGTGAAGGGTGTCCGTAAGGCTCTGGTGATGTTAATTCAACCAGTGCAGATTTTTTTGTGATAAGAGCGAAAAATAAATATATAGAGAAATAAATAATTAAATACAAGAAAGAATTTAAAAAAGTGAATTAATCATACTATGTCCACCTTCCTGGGTGACCACACACGAAATATCATTAATCCAACCACAATAATTTTAATAAGACATCACAACATGGAGGACGTATCTAATCACTTCTAGAATCATAATTCATTCCCCTCTTTCAATGTGACCTTTTTCGTCATCACCTGGGTATTTAATTTAAAAGAAAATAAAGAGAAGGAAAAAAAAGCAACGACAGAAGAATTGAAAAACATAAAGAAAAAAGGAATCATTAATCTATAACGTTATGAATGTGTGAGAAAACACAAAATGGCCGACTTTTCCGGGATAACCGCCAAATTTGTTACATCATTGTTGTCATGGTGAAGTGCCGATTTTATTATGCAGGCAAACTAAGTATAAATTTGTATTTATGAATAAATAAAAAAAGTTGTAAACCAGAAAATACATATATTTGATTAACACAATTTATCATATACTTAAATAATGTAATATATATATATATATATATATATATATATATATATATATATATATATATATATATATATATATATTGTTCTCTTAATTTTACATTTTAATAAATCCTCCTTTGTTATTATTTGAACATTATGAATCGTTCAACCATTGATTTTATT